TGTAATTTTGTATTTTGTTGTAATTTCACTCAAACCAACATGACTAAAATTGCAATTTTGTCCCAATTAAATTAAGGACTGTCACGAATCAAACCTTAAAATTGTCTCTTCAAATGGTTCAGTCTGAAAATTGATTATGTTTTTCAGGTTCATCTAGTTAAGAATTTATGTCGGGTCACTAGCCTTAACCCGAACCTGATTTTAATTTCATAATTATAATAGACAACGTTTGAATTTAGAAAAATGTGATCATCACAAACAGTTGAATTAACTTCATTAATTGTACCAAAAAAAAAAAAAGAATTAATCTCATTAATAATAGACTATGTCCTGGTTTAATTAAATTCATAATTATCTTAATTTGTTTAAGAAAAAATGCAATCATCACAAAACACAGCTTATGAATTAATTGATTAACTTATTCGTTAATGGGTTTTGGGAGTCCGTTGGTAGAAGTGTATCATCATTGTCGCGTATATGATTGATCATTGTGCTTCCAAACGAGCCCTTATTAATTATTATGAGCATTCTCATCTTTTTATTTTTGCTTTCATTGAGGTGACGTATGAAAATGATTAAAGACTCTGAAAAAATTAAACAGTCCCAGTTTGCATATATTTGAAAATTTCCAAAATATAAATAATAAATATTAATAATAAATAGAACAGCAAAAAAATATAAAAAGAATTTCAGAAATTAAACAAATTTACGTAATCCGCATTTGGTCTTTGCAGAAGTTTACGTTAAAAGAAAAGATAAATATAATAATAAAAAAAAAAAGGAACAAAAACAAATGTAGAAATTAGAATGAAATTATGCGGTCAACCACCCACGTTGGCATTTACGAATTACGAACTCCAGCTTCAATATATTTTCATATTATAATCAACATATATATGAATTTGTGCAATGAAATTGCAATAATTATAATATGGAATAATAATTATAATAATTATTATAATTATAATAATTATAATCATGCTTTACTTTTTGTTTCTTTTTAATATGATAAGTCAGTTTTTAAAAAGTAAACAAGTCGTTCATGAGCTCAATTCTGCTCGGCTTGTTATATAGCAAACCAAACCAAGATTGGTTCAACAAGACTCGAGATCAATCTCAGTGTGGCTTGATAAAGGCTCGAAAATAAAAATTTGTACTTAATTTAATAGTATTTCAACTCGTTAAGACTCGAGCCTGATATCTGTTTCGTTCGATAAATGCTCGAAAATATTAATTTTTATGTAATTTAACAGCTAAACTCGTTAAAATTAAAGTCCAATCTTGAGTCAATTCAATAAAGACTCTAGAAGAAAATATCTAATTTTGCTCAATTCGTTAGGACTCGAGCCCGATTTTCAGCTTGACTCAGTCTCGTTTACCCACTAGTTCCAACTTCTAACACAATAAATAAATGAATCATATGGCCCCTCATATTTCCTTTCTCCACATAAATTCCAATAATTACACAAACCACCACAAAAATATGTACCTTCATACACCAATTTACGCAACAATCTTCCAACATTTAATACATTAATTAAATAGCTTTCACAGTTTTATGCACCAATTTTGTTCATCTGCACAAATTCATAGTATTAAATAAATACACCTCATCACCAGTAGCAGTATAGCTGGTATTTAACTTGCAGATATTAAATTTCGTGTAAAAAAAAAAAAAATAAATAAATAAAATTTGGAAAAAAACAGAGTACAGAATTCAAGATTATTTATTTTTTTATTTTCATATATTGGGTGGGGATATATTTCATCACGCTGTCTCAGCCCACGCGTGACACTCCTCTCCCCCTATTGCTTTCTTGTTCCAAAACCCAATGCATTTCATTCAATAAAATTATATATATAATAATATATGTGCTTTCTCCCATTAACAAAACCTTCATAATTATAACTCCACCAAACAAAAATTTCAAATTTCAATATAGGGGCTCCTCTAAATAGAATTTAACAACAAGGGCTCTCAACAATTTTTTTTTTTTTTTAACTAGCTAGCATCATTTGTTTTTCTTTCTTAAAAAGAAGGAAATTACAAATCAGACCTTCCAACATGTCTGTAAGTCTGTGTGTGTGTGTGTGTGTGTGTGTGTGTGTGTGTTTTTTTTCTTGTCTCCTTACTCTGTTGTGAGTACATTCGTACTATTTTATTTGTTTATTTCAAGGTTTTAATTATGTTTATTTTTTTTGTTTGAATAAATATGAAGATGGTTGAGGTGAGAGTTCCAAATCTGGACTGTGAGGGATGTGCTGTGAAGCTAAGAAAGGCTCTGTTCAAGCTCAAAGGTTTAGTGTTTTCACCTTTTCATATCTCAAATTTTGTGCACTTTAAAAGATAGAAATTAATGTCTGAAATTACGGAACCATTCCGTCGGGATTTGTAACCGTTAGATCATAATGTAACCGTCATGGATAGTTGATCTAACGGTTACATACCCGATGGAATGGTTCCGTAACAGGACCGTAGATAATCTCCCAGCAAGTTTATTTTATTGTTTTGAATATGTTAATATCTTTGCATGCAAAATCAAGAAAACTGCTTTTATGCTAATACTACAAATAGTCAACTAGTCAATGTGCTTAATTTGTTTCATTAATATTTGATAGCACATTATTTCTCACTCTCTCTCTCTCTCTCTATATATATATATCTAACAAAATAAATAAATAAATAAAACAATTTCTTTTTTTAATTGAATTTCAATCATTAGGGGTCGATGAGGTGGATGTCGACATGGACTTGCAAAAGATCACGATTAGAGGATACCTATTGGACGAGAAGAAGATTCTGAAGGCCATAAAACGAACCGGAAAAGCAGCCGAGCCGTGGCCTTACCCGGGCTACTCGTATTTTTCGTCCTTCTACAAGTACCCGAGCCACATCATCAGCCACTATTATGACACGTCGAGGAATGTTGTCGCGCCAAGTGTCCACACGTTTTTCCACACTCCAGCTGCGTACTCCTTGGCCGTGGCCTCGGATGAGGTGGCGGCGTCGCTTTTCAGCGACGACAATCCCCACGCGTGCTACATTATGTGAATGATTTGTGTTTGCGAAAATTCGTGTTTGAGTAGTTGGCATTTTTAATTGTTTCAACGCCACGTGGGTCGAACGCTACTTGGCGTGAAAACCTGTCTGTTTGCCTATGTGGCATTTTGTTGGAATATAAGATGAAATATGTGGGAAAAAAAATTAAAAAAATTTGCCACCTAGTTAGCCACACTCAATTTTGGTTGTTATTTTTTTATTTTTTATTTTTTAATTAGGAAGATTTGAGATGTTTTGGATTGATGTTTGTGTATCACGGGTTGTTTCTGTTTTTAAGAGCAAAATAATTTTTTGTATGTGGCTGCTGACATCCCAGCTTAAAAAAATAAAAAAAAATAAAAAAAAAATTACATTTAAGAGCATTTACAAGGGTCTAATTGTGCTTACGCAATAAATAAATTGGTCAAAGTTTTGAATGATAAAAACAAAACCATGTAAAAAAAAATAAAATCACTACAATGCCAAAAAGATCGAATCTTTACATATATTTCATGTCTTAAACAGAGTTAAAGATAGATTGTGTCAAATTCGGTGCGGTTCAGTTCGGTTTTTTAATGTAAAAAAAAATCGGTTCGGTTCGGTTCAGTATTTTCCTTCTCTGCAGTGCGGTGCAGTTCAGTTCGGTTTTTTAAATGTAAAAAAATTTCGGCTCGGTTCGGTTCGGTTCGGTTTTTTTTCCTCATCTGCGGTGCAGTGCAGTTATAATTTTTCATAAGTTTAATTTTTAGTTTCGACTCGGTTTTGCTCACCACTAGCCCTACGAATACCAATGTCCGAGAACATAAATTACACAGCTTATAACATGACCTCAACTAGGCTACGGCTACTTTTAATTGGAGAACATGTTTTTGTGCAC